TGACTCAAGACGTACCGCATGGGAGGCACGGCATTAATAATAAATTTTGATTTATCCACTGCTTCAACGGAGGCCTCACCCCATCATCACTCGGCTGAACGGGCAAACGCTCCGGCGTTTGCCTTGGGAGGTGCAGACGCGTGTTTATTTTGGCAGTCGTTTATGAGGCTCGCCAGTGAGCAATACTGAAGCTTTTATTTTAAGCACAGCGGCAGGTTCGAGGCGTAAATTATATTATTCATCGACTGCTCTGGGGACACCAGAGAAGGAGAGGCACCAGGTGCACCCACGAAATTACAGGAGCAGTCCGTAAAAGCGGCACTGATTCTTAATCTGATAACCGCGGCAAGTTAGTCTAACATTACTTACAGCTGCAATGGTTTCTTATCCTGGAATAAACAAAATTAAAATGTCACCTCACCACTGCTTTTTGCACGCATTAATTTTACATTCGTGCAATGTTTTCATAGCATTACCTGGCTTCATTTGCACAATCACAGTGTGAATAGTAGGGGTAGGACAATGCATTGTTTTGTTGAGAGATACCCATTCTTAAGCTCACGATAAATTATTTATTGTGTTTTTAATGTTTAGATGTTGTATTGTGTTTTTTTGTTGTTGTTTGTGATCACTTGAGCTCAAAAAGGTTTGTGAATCAAATTGCTGTGAATAACCGTGACAATGCATCAAATCGCAGGCGGGTGAATTGTGATCGCTATAGAAAATATGTAGGGGTCTATACAATGCATAGTGTTAGACCCATTGGAGTTGTCCTTTGGCAAAGATAACGGTGTGAAGGTGATTATAATAATGATTATAATTATTAATAGTTGCAGTATTTCTCCAGGAGCAACAGCATCGGTAGCAGAGACCTAGCACTAAGGCCCTGCGCAGTGAAACGTCTTAAAGCTCTCTTCAAAATAAAATCAGCCGTTCACCTACCAATTGCTGCACTCGTGAGTGATGGAAGCTCCTGACGGGATCTCCTGCCCCAGGAAGACGGCCGTGCCGTCATCCCGCAGCGCCGTGAGATTGAGCGGGGCCCTCCCTCCAACTTCCGACCCCTGATCCGCCGCCTTCTCAGCCGCCGAGAGGGCCGACTGTTCCCACAGCAGGACTGCGGTGGCTTCATCCAGCACGCAGGGGCACTCCTGGGGGGGCACAGCCACCGCGCATGTTGCCTTGTGCTTCCAGTCACACTCCACCATCAAAAGACACGGTGGCTCACACCTGTAATCCAGCGACCGGGAGGCAGGGTGCATGGGTCATGCTGATCATCATGCGTATTTTGTGCTTACTATTTGAGGGCCCAACTGAGCCGCATAGCTCTGTTTCAGAAGCGACCTGGCCACAAATGATAGCTCAATGAAGTGGCTTATCGTCACGGGGACATTTATAGCAGCCAAATACTCTAAAACGCATGTTTTTAAATCTGGAGGTAAAAACTGGATGATCCGGACAAAAATCCACGCGACCACGAGGAGAACATGCAAACTCCAAATATACAGGCGTCAGGGTCAGGATCAAACCCACGACCTCCTCCATACCAGGTGAGGGAGTTAACATCTCGCAACGATGGCACCCGTGGGTGTATGATAAAAATGTAAGTTTAATTAATTTGTTAAACGGATATTACCGTTTAGCCAGTTGTTCGTCTATTTTACAAGGGAGATCTGTGGCGTGTGAGTACAGTGCCAAACGAGGTATTTAATGGCCATGAACAAAATCAAAAGCAGCGCAAATGCAAAATTTAAAAAGTTAGGCACAGGTGCAAGTAAGTTCTATATTTTTTTTGCCAAACAGCGACATAAACAAGTGAATTGAAAAAGACAGAGCAAACATGTGGGAGCAAGGGGCGGCATACAAAAAAAAACGTGAGGTGCGTTTTGTACAGGTGTGTTTTGTTTTAATAGGGAAATAAAAAGAGTGAAGGGAGAGAAAAAAATAAAGCCGCGGATTGAGAGCCAAGCATATTCGAGAAACATGGAGCAGCAACATGGAAACACTTTCTCATAAAGTTTTAGCAAATGGAATTTTTAATATGATTAATGAGGCACTTCTGAGGCTACGGCAGGGCATTGGAGGAACTGAGTGGTCCATTAGGTAATTGGCCGCGATGCCCACATACATTGAGTAGGGTTACTACAACTCTGAGGTGCAAAAAAATAGATCGACCCTGGGAGAGATGGCGACCCTAACAGTGAGTCAATCTGACTTTGATACTTTCTTAAATTGCGTCCTTGCTGACCGTTCTGATTGTTCTTTCAATATATTTGACAGCATTAAAAATACTGCGAATTGACCCGGCTGCTAGGTTTCAGTGCCACTTGTTTGAGATCAACTGCCCAAACCTGTTACAACACATCACGCGTCCGTGAGCTCTCCCGCACGCTCGCTCTCTCGCAGTCCCACTCTCTCGCTCGCTCGCACGCACGAGTCCCCCACCTGGACACAGCGGCCCTGGTGGAGCCAGGTGCCGACGGGGCAGTGGCAGCCCTCCTCGCAGGTCTCCCCGCGGCACTCCGCCTCGCCCCGCACGTGCGCGCACGTGTACGGACATTCCTCGTCCTGGACGCACTCCCGGAACAGCTTGTCGGCCGGACAGCCGGCTGACAAAAAAAAAAAACGGTCGTCAGGAATGGGGGAGAGTTTTTGGTGAGGACGAAGTGTTGCACGGTTTAGTTTTTAAAGTTTTTTTTTTCCTTACAACACAGGTCACGAAGCCTGACCGACGATCAGCGTGACATCGGTACCACAGTTGTGTGCTTCGTGAAGTCTAAATGAGTTTGCACAGCATGTTTGGTGTGATATGTGATGAAGCACCGTAATTTCTTTGCTGTGTAGTTGCCATTTCACATCGGTGAAACTTAAAAAAGCCTTTTATATATTGTTTTGATTTCCGCCGTGGATAATATCCAGGGAAAGCAATGCAATAGATTTTGTTTATGGAAGAAAAGCTGCAAAAACGAAACAAACGGGCTTGGTGCCATCAAAATGTGTTTAGCGCTGAGCCTCCAGACAGCAGTGCCTCACATTCCTTCAACACGTTTGGTATTCGGCAGAACCGACTTCCGTGGCTGTAAAAATAATAAAGAAAAATCATGAACTTGTAATTGTACACATTAACATCGAAAAAAATCTGACCTTTCTCTATGTCAGTCACAGAGCGCAGGCAGTGAACAATGCTGCTTGAAATTATTCCAGCAAAGAAAAAGCATCTTCAAGTCTGTAATGTGCCTTACACTCGTGCTGACATAATACAAATACAATGAAAAACGTTCCCTTCACCATAGCACACAAAATTAAAGCAACGCCACATTCGAGCCGAGTCACATTGAATTTCTGGGCCCACGTTTTTTCAAGGCTTGGTATTCAGGATTCAATCACTACAGTTTGTGTCATCTCCACAGGACAAAGCGAAGGACAAGGAAGCCCAGGACATGGGCACGCTAACCCCCACTATGGCTTTCAACCAGCCTGGCAGGACACCAAGTAGTTACTCTCCAGCTATTGGCACACTACAAATGCAATGTGCGTGTGTATTTCGTCTATAGCTGCAGTGCAGCATAGTTTAATGTGAAGTGTGTGTGTGTGTGTATGAGCCGGGCCAATTATGGAGAGTGGCTTTTGCTTGCGAAACGGGCCCACGTGAGATGGTTCTTGATTATTAGGGTGGGGGGGGGAGCATTAATTCCAACAACAATTTCCAAAACTTAACGCACAACTCCGCGTAGCCGTTTTGATCAATGGCCATCACGCTACAAGCTTATGAGGCTGGAAGCATAAGGCCAGTGCCTTGCCGTTAGCTGATACAATTCAACTGTGCATTCTCACGGAGTTTATTTTGTTACAGCCTCTTGCCGGTCCACGATTAGAAAGAGGGCCTCTCCAAGCCGACTTTGTGATTTACATCTGCTCATGTGTAGGTGCTCAGTGGGTTGAAGGCCTCCCCAGACGGAAGCAGATTGGTGGGGGGGGGGGGTGGCTTCATCCAGAAGTTGATTGGCCATGGCTGATTCATTATTATTCGTGTGGGTTGGTGAAGGGAGGCTTCCAGGACCAATTCTGCACATCAGAATCTGAATCTTTGTTTATCCTAGAGAAATGCGATGAGCTATTAAGCTGTTTTTCACAGATGCCCAGTAGTATAATACACCACTGATGTTTGCCGTTTGTGCCACCTACTAACCCTGCCTCTAGAGTGCTGTATAACAGCATCTGCCCGTCACGCAATGCACACTTGCACATATGCACATCCGTGTGCTCCAGATATTCCGCAGCTCGTAGGACGGTCTGACGAATAGCCAAGTACCGGGTTAAAGTAAACACCGCGTAGCGAGGGGTGCTCCACTTCGTGAGCAGTCATCGGTGTTTTTTTCATGGTGACTAGTCCCCGTCATAGTAATGAAGAATTTCCACCACTGGCTTCGAGGCTCCGACAGTGATAATGACCACCCCGTCAGTCATTACCCCAATACAATGACAACGCTGCGTCAATTTAATAGCGGATAAATTTGACCGCACCTTCCAAGACGCCGTACGGAAACCGTGGGCATATATTTATAGAGAGAGGCGGTCAATGTCAATTCAGAGACTTTGCACACAACGATACAGCTTCTCTGGGTGCCTCGTTTCCTGCAAAGTAAATACCTTCATATTACCTCTCGTGTTACTCCTGCACCTGGCAATGCACGGCAGTGCACCAGGCGACCCGAGTTCAAAGCCCACTCACGGCCAACACCAGTGGCGGTGCGGTGTGTAAGCATAGCCGCTCGGGAGGCAACGGGCATGGTGCCGACCGCCCACCCCGCCGTGTGCCGTGCCGGCCTTCTTCATCGGTGCTCAGGCTACACGGGGGAATGTTTGTCTCTGTGTGCAGCGATGGAGAGAGCAGCCCACACCCCACCTTGGCAGACGTGGGTGTTGCAGGCCTTGCTGTGCGTTGCCAGGCCAGGGCACGGGGGGTGCAGGCAGCTCCGGTGGCGGGTCTGCTCCCCGCCGCCACACCCCACGCTGCAGTTGGCCCAGGGAGACCACTCTGACCAGGGCCACGAGTCTGAAACGACGGGACGTCGCGAAGGAACCACGTGAGTGCGCGCACGGCAGGGCACGTCGATCGGACAGCGACGAGGAGGGAGAAGGCCCCGTAATCAGCTGTGGCCTCTTTTTTTCATTTTCAGGAGGGTCTTGCTAAGTTCGTGTTTTTTTTTTGCAGTAGGGTGCGATGTTGCTGCTGCTATGTGTAATCCCAATTGAGTAACTTGCAAGCGTTTCTTCCAGCGTTGGTGTGTTTGGCCAATACCAGTTGCATCGCGCGGTATTTTCGTCTAACCGGTCAAAATAAAGCACAGCCCGATGAGCTCTCCCAAGCGCACGCATTCCCAGCCGCTTTACATGTGTCTGTGTCAGTTTGCATTGACTACACGTGACACTTGGCAACACTTACCAACTCTTACATTGTGTGGATGAATAGGAGCGCCACGGGTCACGGTCACTGGGAGCCGTACAATGCGTGCAGGGCGGTACCAAAGCGTTTGCTATTTTTATTCCATTGCAGAAATCGCTGTCGGTAACAGGGATGCACTGAGCAAGGGGCTTAAGGCTCCGCTTTAGGAGCAGTATAGCCGCACATCATGATGACGTAGTCCTCAATTAAAGCGCTACACTCGAGGACAGTGAGGAGTGGACTTCACCATCTGGGCATATCCCTCCTATGCTTGAGCGAGGCGTCACCCAGACCTTGTCCGCTCCCCAAGGGGGCGAGGGGGGGGGGGGTACGTATTTTGTCAACGCACTCGCGCGCGCGCTTCAAAAGGTCAGCGGAATAAAATCGACGCGATAATCCGGGTCACCCTCGAGCGAGCGCGAATAACGCGGCCGTCATTTGCGCGGCGGGTGACAGCTGGCCGCCCCCCGTCTCGTTCCCCCCGGGACGGGGAGCCGCGCCATAAGTGGACGGCACCTTACCGACGCAGCTCCGCGCGCGGCACTCCTTCTCCTCCCGGGAAGGCCCGGCGCAGCCGCGGCCGCCGGCGTGCGGGGCCGGGCTGTCGCACAGCCGGTAGCGGTACTGCACGCCGTCCCCGCAGGAGCGGGCGCACGCGCTCCAGCCCGTCCACGAGCCCCAGCCGCCGTCGATGCGGCACGCCAGCTCGGTGCACGACAGCTGCCCGCTCTCGCAGGTGCTGCCGTCAGGCGAGGGCACCGGGAGAACGCGACGGGGTCAGAGGTCACCGCGTGCGCGCGTAACGGAAGCTATCCGGGTCTAGTGCACGGGTGCACCCCGCGGGAGAAGTGAAAACGATGGCGGAGGAGCGCAGCGATTGAGGAAACAAAAAATATTTGTTTAAAAAGGTCAAGGTGCAGCACTGGAACTTCTTTATTAAGCCACTGCTGGCAGACCGGCCTCCACTTGAGCGAGGTCTAGAGAAGCCCTCTCGAAGATATTTGGCCTACTCTTCAACGCTCGCCAGAAACCTTGGAAGATGTCGACGTGCCCGCCACATGTGACCTGCCGATTAACGAACTTGATCGGGAGAGGCAGAGTGTCCCTCTCTGTTCAAATTAGTGTTGGGTGGTGTTCATCTGACAACGGTGGCATTTCCCACGGCATTGGGCGACTGCTGCTGACCTCCATCGAGGGGTCATGATTTTATTGACCGCAAGAAACAAATGTGATCGCTGACTGATATTTGAAACAAACGTCTCATTGTGAGTTGAGATCATTAAACACCTTGGTATTAATACTTTTTTCAGAAAGGCACTGCAGTGGGATAATTGAACACGTTCTTTTAGAGTCTATCGCACGTGGGGAGCAACTCAATTGCTCAGAAAAAAACACAGACACTTGAAAGGAATAACACTTTCAAATGTGCATACAGCCAGACCGTACTTGCTGTACTGCCAAGAAAGCGGACACCTCATAGAGTAAACCAGGTTGGGTGTCGAACACATATTATTAAACATGTACCATCCCCTAACCCTACCTCCAAAATGGTCGATTACGGGCGTGAGCCACCAGACCCGCGAAAAATTTGGGCCAAATATAATTGGTGAAAATACGTTTATGAAAAACACTCCACAACAAAAAAATAAATAAATTGAGTAATGTGTATGGCTGTAAATACTGACGGAATCAAATTATGGGTTGTGTGAAAAAATCTGGAAAAAATTGTTGATGCAAAAATCAATAAATCATAAGCGAATTATCTGATAATGGCAACATAACGAAATCTTTAGCAAGTGCGCGTTTGTGACAATCTACATGTGCCACTTCATTTCTGTTTCAATCAAGCTCATCTGTGGGCAATTCTAAGATGTGACCTTTTATATCATTTTTTTTTATTAATAGCAGTTGCTTGCGATATCTTGATCATGCAATTCAAAGCCCTAACACATTTACTAGCACCGTTTGGTTCCAAAGAACGAATTTCCTAGGCCAATATAAAGCGAGAAATTACATAAAACGCTCCGTAGAATTTTGCTTTCCCTAGGTGAACAAGAACACCACAGATGAGCCACGTGTAAATGTGGAAACACACAGTTGGAAAAAAATAACAACACGTCAACGAAAAACTGAAAATCACACACAGCACGCTGCGCACGAAAACAAAATAATTCCAGAATAACCTTAAAAAAAAACAACCCTTCCGTGCGTTGCATCTACGCTGTCCAATTACAACCTGATTTGTACAAACCTGCTGCGGTGTCAAAAAACAAAGGGAGCGCATGAGAGGCATGAGACCGCACCACCTGCGACGAGTACCCTTCACGTGTCCCTGTCTGCCCTTGTCGCATCTCACCCCCCCCCTCGCCTCTCCAAACGTGCGATCATCTGCTCCCCCCATCCCACCTCTACCCGCCCCCCCGCTTCCCACAACCCCTCCTCCCACCCTCCTCGTCCTTCTGCCGTTCCCGACCCAGGCCGCCAGAAGTACAGCAAGCAGGGGCGCTGATGTCCCCTGCGCTCGCTTCGTCCCTTACCAGTTGTTGCAACGGATGGCGACTGTCTCCCCGGGATGCACCAGTATCCACGCTGGCTGGACCTCAGAGGCGGAGCTGCCGTTGACTCCATCTGTACCGGGGAGGAAAACTTTGTCACCGTCACAGGCGAGGGTGCGTGACTAAACGGAGAGTGAACTGAAAAATACAGAGGGTGTGAGACAAACGATGTGCCAGCAAACGGTAATAATGCTGTAGACGATTTGAAACATTTAACTCGGTCACCGGCTTCCCAGTCGCAGGATGGCCGGCACCACCGTGGCTTTACCCTCGGGGATCGACGGGTGTGAGCATATCCGCAAGTGAATGTTAACCTCGGCATTTGTGCCATGTGTTTCAATGATCAGGGCCTCCATTTTTCTGCGCTCGTGGAAAGTGCCTTCTACCCACTGTTGCCCAAAATCGATAGAACAGGAATCACCGCAGAGTGTGGCTGTTTTGCATCAAACGTTTCACGAAAACAAAATGCCTTTCTGCTCACGCGTGGAAATTCTACGCATTCACACCTGACGCAAGGTTAACAAAATTAAAAAAAACGAAGCGAGGTGCTTTGCTACGTCCCATTTGCATTGCAAAGTGCTTTGAAGATGCTCTTTCATTATGGAAGCACTCAACAAAAATGCAAAAACCTTGCCACGAAACAAAAACACCACTTGCGGTGCTGCCGTTGAACGACACATTTTTTTCGGGGTCTAACCACAACGAACAATAAACACCCAGGTGAAAGACTGGGTGTTTATCGCTTGGGCAGGACACCCCGGCCGGTGGCCGAGAGTAGCGAATGAATGGCAGCCAAGGGAGGGAATGCAACCACACTCTGGGAGTGCCTTCATCCAACAGCGGATTGATCATAGAACTGCTGCTGATGCTAATGATGACACACCGGTCTCTGGGTGGGCGAGTGCGAGCCGGCGGCAATTAACCCGACACTCACGGTCCCGCCCGTGCGAGTGCGGCGGCCTGGGCGGGCGGTAGCGGCACGGGCACCGCGAGGGCGGCACGCAGGCGGTGCCGTCCTCGCGCAGCACGAGGTCGCCGGGGCACGCGCACGCGGGGCGGCACTCGGCGGGCGGCTCCACGCACAGGACGCCACTCCGCAGATCCTCGCAGCTCCGCGGGCACGGCTTGCCGCACGGCAGCACCACCTGGCCCTCGGGGCAATCTGAATAAACGAACGAAACGGGTTTTTTTTATTTCACCAGTTGAAGCCCACTGAGATGTGCGGTTCCCGTTTCGGAAGCGACCTGGCCATGGTAGCTCAACCAAGCGGCTTATCTTGCGGAAATGTAAAGCAATCGAATGCTCTCAACGCACATTTTTAAACCGGGAGAAAAATCCACGCGACCGACGGGGAGAACACGCAAACTCCACACATACAGGCACCAGGGTCGGGATCGAACCTACTACCTCCTGTATACCGGGTGAGGTAGTTCACATCTCGCCGCCGCCGCGGCGCCTGCCACTCTTGAGCGACGAGAGGCAAGGGGCAGCTGCGTAGCGCGTTATCGCTGCAAGCGCGGGCACCGACGCCTCGGAGAGTCTCCGTCAAGTAAATCGATCGATCCGTCAGTCGATAATAAGTCACACGGTCGAGTGACTCTCCTCCGATCGAGTGAGTGCGAGCCAGTGCGAGCGTTAAGCCGAGCCCCGGTGTTGAAAAGCCAGCGGTGGAAATTCCACATCGCCACGGTGGGGGGCAAATCTTTAACGGAATAAGTGTAAATTTTTACTTAAACTTTCGTGACTTGGAACTTTCGTGACTGTACCGAAAGAACCATAGGATACAGAATAAATGTATCAATCAGTCAATCGGTCAATTGACTTGGATGGGGTTAAGTGTGAGGGGGTGCTTGTGCCTGTTGGTGGGCCTCAGATGGTGGTGGAAATTCCACATTCCTGTGGTGGCAGCCGTTAAAGCCACAGGATATCCACTGTTTAGGTGCCAAAACGTGGTACCCATGTTATTGAGCCTCAAAGTGTTCATAACCTGAATGAGTCCTTAACCTGGATTGGAACTCATTGATGTGTTGGCATATGCCTAATTTGGAAAATAAGCTTCCGAATGTGACTCTTTTCTCTGAAAGGCCAGATCATTGCAAAGTAGATCAAATGTTTACAATAATGGGAGGGGTACTTACTTACTTTCTAACCTGCTGTGGAAATTGAACAATGTTGTAACGAACGCCATTTGCAGTTGTCACACCCGCTCTTAAAGGGCCCGTAAATGTTTTCCATGCCGCCGTAGATCGCTAATTGGTGCATTCTTCACCCGAAATCATGAACTGCACCGTTAATGCAAATTGTTGTTGTGCCGAACGTCACCCGCGCAATAATCAATCTCGATTGCGCCACTTCCAGTGGCTCGCCGGTGAAAGTGTCGGACGTGTCCCTCGCTGTTATCGACAGACAGCACTGCTGCCCGGTAGGCGAAGGTCGCCAGGGCCTGACCTTGCTACACGAGCGACCAGGTTCCCAAGCCAGCGATCGATCAACAATGTAATGGGGTGGGGGGGGGACGTGTGTTGGTGTCAACATTATAGTTCAGGAAGACCTCTGCACGCAACGCCCGATTCTATGTTCGTATGTCTCTTTGTTTTTACGCTTCTTTTCTGCCAACGTAGACAATAGCAACATGCTAAGTCGGTTAAAAACGGCATCCACGACTGATCGAGTGTGTAGGCATCGAGTGATGATGGGTGTCATTGTAGTTACTAGATCTTAATTAAAACGTAAATCAATAAGCCATCAGAACACAAAGACTATGCCCCCCATTTTATCTCGTACACTCTGGACCAATTAAAGCTGACATGGCAATCCGAGGGGTGGTTACTGTCAGCGACCAGGCCTGGCCACCCTTGTCTTTAGAGTGCTACTCCTGGGACACTCTGTACCAGGTAATCAATTTCCAGCGAGCATGGCCAGGGGGAGGGCCATTTTCCCCACTGATGATTTGGCCAAGATGTGTTTTTCATATCAGCGAGATCGAAACTAGCGCAGTGCACAAATCACTACATCACTCCTGTCGCATACACACAAATATCCCTTGCATTGTTCACGTGGGCTGTTGGGACACGTGCTGTTCGTAAGCAATTACAGAGGCTGGCACAATGCTGGTTTGTGGCCACCACCATGTCCGGTTCAGGCCACACCATGCCCTCTTGTCTCCCCAGTGCTGGTATGTACATACCACACCAGGTACTCATTTAAGGCAGAGTCGACCTATGGGAGGACCCAGCACCGGATCAGAAATCACTCGCCGCTGATGAGAGGCATGGCTGGGAATGAAAGGCGGGTCGCTGGTTCTCGACGAGCTGTGCGCTAACCCACTCTTGCCATCGATTTTTCGGTCCCACCAAAACACGTGGGCAGCGCGCGCCCACAAGGACGGTCGCCGTAGTCATCCCGACACACCCACCAGGACACGAGCTGGGGTCCCCCTGGCACGGACGGCTCACGGTGGAGTTCCCTTCGCACTCCGCGCCGCCGAAGCGCGGGGTTGGGCTGTTGCACTCCCTGGTCCTGACGGCGGCGCCGCCGGCACAGGCGTCGCACGCCGACCACGACGACCAAAAGCCCCACCCGCCGTCCGCTGAAACACAAGGACACGCAGACCCATGTAGCCTTTAACAGACTTGTCTTACGGTTGTTATCGTTTGACTTGCATCCCACTGGGATTTTTGGCACACGGCGTTGACATGCGGTGGGTTTTTTTCTGGAAGACTTTGCTGTTTTTTTTTCTTTCTGGAAGACTTTGCTGTTTTTCTTCCTGGATTTTTCTGTTGCGCGCAGTCACTTTGAGATGTTCTTTGTTCGTGTTTTTGTTTGTTGCGGTTGCACCTGAGTCAAGAGCCGCATGGCTCACAGGGCTATACCTAATACATGAAACTGAACTGAACTGAGGTGCCGCTGTTGTCAGCGAGCATCCGTAAAGGTTGTCACGGTGCACGAGTCGGTGGGGGATAGCCCACACCACTTTCGTCTCCCAGTGCTGATGTTTACACGCCGCATCGGGTACTCTGTTGAAGGCGGATCGTCATTTTACACGCTTTAATTTAACTCACTCTGTCTGTTATATCCTCAACTCTGTCTGTTGTTGTATCCTCAAATCTTGTAACTCGATTTTAACCCACTTCCCAATGTCGTATGGACTGCATACTTGGTATACGCATGTCATACTGATGACAATACTATATTCTATCATTAAAATTTTTTAATAAATATTTTTAAACAATCTTTTTTATATCTGATGTTTCGGCTTGGGTCTAATTGTCCACGCTCAACTCACGTTGGCTGTAAATCACCACGGTCCCTTACGTTATATCATTAAAGCGTGTTTAAAAAAAAGTATTTTTAAATATTACTTATGAGGTGGATTGTTTACATCGTAGGATTGTGAGATGATGATGGCTTTGGGAGGTCTTCATCTTGCAGAAAATTTACTCAAGCTGACGACAACAATGATGAAATCCAAATTTCATTGTACTGTTATATTTTGTTGATGTATATTTAAAAAGAAAATCCTGCACGAAATAGCAGTGTTTAAAAATAGAAAATTATCTCAAGATGCTGAGGAAGTTCGCACATCTTAAAACGTGTTCACTTGTACCCCCCCCCCCCCCCGCACCTCAGATTAACACGGTTGGCTATGTGCAGTGTTAAAAGAAGTTTAACATACACACATGCAACATGTGGCTTTGTAAGTACAGGGACTCCTCTACTTACGAACATTCGACTTACGAACTTTAAGAGATACGAACAAACCTGTCCGTATGTCCAGTTGCCCGTTCGGACTGAGAGTCGTATTCAACCGCCGTGCAATGGCGGTTGAACTACATCTGCAGAACGTGAAGAACCAGTGGCATCTACATCTAAAGAACATTAAGAACCAGTGGCATCTACATCTACAGAACGTGAAGAACCAGTGGCATCTACAGAACCATTGGCATCTACATCTGCAGGACGTGAAGAACCAGTGGCATCTAATCTGGATAATGTGAAGAACCAGTGGCATCTACATCTGCAGAACGTGAAGAACCTGTGGCATCTATATCTGCAGAACGTGAAGAACCAGTGGCATCTACATCTGCAGAACGTGAAGAACCTGTGGCATCTACATCTGCAGAACGTGAAGAACCAGTGGCATCTAATCTGGATAATGTGAAGAACCAGTGGCATCTACATCTGCAGAACGTGAAGAACCTGTGGCATCTACATCTGCAGAACGTGAAGAACCAGTGGCATCTACATCTGCGGAACATGAAGAACCAGTAGCATCTACATCTGCAGGACGTGAAGAACCAGTGGCATCTACATCTGCGGAACATGAAGAACCAGTGGCATCTACATCTGCGGAACATGAAGAACCAGTGGCATCTACATTTGCAGAACGTGAAGAACCAGTGACATCTACATTTGCAGAACGTGAAGAACCAGTGGCATCTGCATCTGCAGAACGTGAAGAACCAGTGGCATCTACATCTGCAGAACGTGAAGAACCAGTGGCATCTACATCTGCAGAACGTGAAGAACCAGTGGCATCTACATCTGCAGAACGTGAAGAACCAGTGGCATCTACAGCTGCAGAACGTGAAGAACCAGTAGCATCTACATTTCCAGAACGTGAAGAACCAGTGGCATCTGCATCTGCAGAACATGAAGAACCAGTGGCATCTACATCTGCAGAACGTGAAGAACCAGTGGCATCTGCATCTGCAGAACATGAAGAACCAGTGGCATCTACATCTGCAGAACGTGAAGAACCAGTGGCATCTACAGCTGCAGAACGTGAAGAACCAGTGGTATCTACATCTACAGGAGATTATACAACTTTTAAAGCCATTCTCCGTGTTTAGTGACCATGCCGTACAACATGTTTGGAATGGACAAGAGAAAAAAGTTGGACTCACGAACAAATCGACTTACGAACAGACCTCTGGAACCTAACTCGTTCGTGTCCCTGCACACTGACAGTGCTCTCGCCCCCACTCCCCCCCCCCCCCGCCCCCCCCCCCCCCCCCCCCCCCCCCCACCGCTCGTGTGTCTGCACAGAAGTCATAGGAGGAGGGCGCGGCAGGCCGCCTACGCACTGGGGCAGAAGGGGAAGAGGTTGCACGGCTTCGCCTCCAGCTGCACGCCCACGTCCCTGTGCTCGTGCCCGCGCTGAGCCCCGGCGCAGGGCGCGCCCCCGTCCCGCGGCAGGGGGCACGCGCACGTGCGGTAGCGCGACGCCGTCTCCGAGCCGCACGTGCGGGAGCACGGCGTCCACGGGGACCACTCGCACCAGCCGCCGTCCACTGGAATCGGAGTGGGAGTTATTATTTTTTGATTACCGGACGAATCCGATGTGAACACGTTACCCGCACGTCACTCGATGTGGGGATTACGGCAGAGCAACGGTGCCCCCTCGCCCCTCGCCGCCATGGCGGAAATTTGGCAGGACCCTCGTGAAAAAGTATCGGAGGCTCGGTGCGGCGTGCCTGGGTAAACAAGCGTAATGGCAGTAAAAAAAAGTGCAATGCATTTAAAGAGGTGACGATGCACTTGGGGTTACCACTGTTGAGTGGTGTCACGGTGGTGCATTGGTTACATTGATTCCCCGTCAAAGATCACCCATATAGCCTGAATGGACTGTTGTGGCAACTGCTGTTAGCGAGTAGCACCTATGAAGGCCGGGCAAGGTACACGAGGGGGTGGGTGGCCAGCACCACGCCCGACCGCCTTTGTTTCCGCAGTGGCGATCTTTACGCACCACACCAGGTACTAATTTGAGGCTGAGTCGACCTAGAGGAGGACCAAATCAGATATTCGTTACTGGTGTTGTCCGTTAGCGGGCATCGAACTCGGGTAGCCAGGTTCGTAGCGCAGCACGTTAACCGCTACGATCCCTCCACCCCTCCACCAACCCACACTGACCAATGTGGTGAAGCATGGTCAATCAAACCGCGTGACCAACACGGCGTGGAGAGACAGGCCTTTAATCAGAAATTCATTGTGACAAAGGGCTGCACCGCCGTTGTTGATTTACAACATAGTGGTTCTCATCTTATTGTTGAAGGAGGGATGACGGGCTGAATTGACTCGAGAATTCGATTACGAGCTATGCGCTCCGGCCACTGCGCCGTCCGGCTGCACAGTTAACTGTGCGCGGCTGAGAAAATGAACACCACCTGGTGAACACCACGTGGATGGAAGAGTGTGGAGAGTTTGGTTTCCACCGCTGGCTGGGCCTCAAATGGACGAGTTCTGCTCATTGCTTACTTGGAGCAAGTGGACAACTCTACTTATTGATCTTGAACATATTCGAAGCCTCTGTGTGGATAGGGAAAAATATTTCAATTTCAAAGAACTCACATTTTAAAGTTTAACACTGCAGTTAAAGCGGTAGTAATTTTATAGAGGGCAAGAAAGTAAATTGGTTTTATCTCCGCATTTCCATCCAAAGATCAATTCTCGTGGCCCGGCAGTGGAACATTTCGTCCTCTTGTCAGTGTCTCAAAGGAGCACGAGAAATCAAGCTGTGTTCAGATGCTACAGGCAAGACGTTTAGCTCTTACTCATGACACCGCTCGGTATAAATGCAGGCTTCGCAAACATCTTTGTGAAGAAAAAAAAGTACAACTCACTGATAAAGCACTGGCATCACATGCACCGGGCAATGAGACAGAGAACGTCCAAGCAGAAACTTCGTTTGAATTACCACCGACGCAACCACCACTTTTTCTCCTGGTTACTGCTATTCTGAACGCTGTCCTTTGCTCATTACCACCGAGCTGCACTCGTTCCGTGTTTGTGAGTGCGAAATACACTTCATTAGTGGCCTTTGGGCCTCCCGTGGAAAAAATAATAATTTACCGTGCTCATCATGATTTACCGGTCTGTGAGTGCGTGCAAACTCTTCGCTTGGATTAACAAATCGGCTCAAAACACAGCCCTGGGTGTACAGTGCTGGGCAGCGGGTTTTGGGATATGTAGTGGTTGAAATAACGCGATACCTTTATGAATGCGCTCTTTATACAGTTAAATATACTGATGGTCAAGCAAAAGTTATTTGCTGCTCAAATGAGCATTGAGGTGGTACTAGTGTCCTTTTTACAGCCTTGCGCCAGGGGTGGAAATTCCACGTTGCTATGGCTTAGGGCAGGTCCATCCAAAGGACAATCACCATTCATTTCCCCACTAAGTGTTTAGTCGTTTTATTGACCCTGGAGAAATTGTCGTGATAAAAAAAAACACTACCAAAAATTTGTCGTTGAATCCAGTGCGATGCTTGTAATTATTTGCTTACCAGGACAAGGCTGATTGGTGCACACGAGCGCTCCATGCATGCAAGTGCTGAAATTATGAAAAAATAAAAACGACATTAAAATCATTGAGCGAAAGGCGGGATTTACTTTCGCAGCCTTCATAGAATGACTTTAACAAATGTTGCCTCGACCGATAACAAGGCAAAACAAAGGCAAATTAAAATCTTACGTAACTTCTTCAAATGATGCAGAGGGCAATTACGTAAGCACAGCAAGCTCTTGTGACTCGACTGCAGACAACCCTGTTCAAGTCGGGGGTTTATTTCTTTCCTCACACCACGCCGTCGCCCTGGCCCCCGCCAAATGACACTTCTCTCCTCGCCATTCCCCAAACAGAATCCCCCGCTCGCTCCACAGCAACCGGCCGCATTCATTGCGCAACGCCGTGGGACGCTGTCCCGTAAGAACGCCTCTCAAATCAAAATAGTGCATTGTTGTTGCATAGCCAAATCCATCGGGACGACGTCACCCGGATATTGCGATCTCTCAGATGCTAAGCACGTTCGAGCCTTGATATTGCTTGGGTGGGTGAACACCACGCACAAACAGCTTGGCAACACGGCATCCCGGACTACGTGGTGGCTAGCTGGGGTTAGTCCAGCAGAAGCCCATCGCTGCGCTGTTCTGCATCTACGGCCCCCCCCCCTTACCCCCCGACCCGTGCTGGCCAGCGTGGTTGGTGAAATTTGGTCACTTAAACTCCCACGATCCGCACGGGGCAGGGGGGTGGGGGAGGAGGCCGTAAATCAGCAGCGGGCGGAGAAGAAGGAGCCGTGCGCGTACCGTTGCCGCCACTACCACCGGCGCCCATCCCGTATCAGCGAGAGCCGTTCAGACTCGACCACCCAGCGGTGGATAGGCAAACAAGAGCCGTGCGAGTGCATGGAGCGACGAAAGACGCGACGGGAATCGATCGACCAGTTGTTGCAGCCGTCCGCGTGGGGCACTGTGTCCCCGGGCGGGTGTCGCCGCCCGGTGTTGATGTCCAGGCATGTGCAGTCCTGCTTGTCCACGCACGCCTTGCCCTCGCCGTTCATCAGGCGTCCATCTGTGCAGTAGCAGCCGGGCTCGCAGCTCCACGAGCAGAACTGACGTCACGCATCAAGACGGAAAGCACACGGGCCGGTGACCGCATATTCGTCCCCCGTAGCTCTGCGGAGGGGCGTTCAGCCTGTTGTTGTTGTTGCGGTGGTGCACTTTACCGCAACCTGGAGCTCACGATAGAACTCAATGAAGGCAATTTATTTTTACGGTGAAACACTTTTTTTGCGTCTAGAGTGGCGTAACAGAGTAACTAACCATCAAACAGAACGACACACGTTTACAGCAATGTGAGCAAGACCGAGAGCGGGTTTGATGACGTACAGACACATCGTCGCAGGTCCGCGGGCAGGGCGGCCCACAGTGACTGTAGTACGACCCAGCCACTTCCGAACAGTTCCTGTCTGAAAAGTAAAATCCACACGAGTAATGTGAAACCATCAGAGGAGGATTGCACACCGAATTCGGGCTGGAGTCAAACTCTAAATAAACCCTTAAAACCAAACTTTTTTTATTTATTTTACCAGATAAAGCCCACGCACACACCGAATTCGGGCTGGAGTCAAACTCTAAATAAACCCTTAAACCAAACTATTTTTATTTATTTTACCAGGTAAGGCCCACTGAGCTATGTAGCTCTTTTTCAGAAGTGACCTGGCCCCACATGATAGCTCAACGAAGTGGCTTATCGCGTGGAAATATAAGAGCAGCAAAACACTCGAAGCGCACGTTTATAAATGTGGAGGAATAAACCATAGGACCCGGAGAAAAATCCACACCGCCACGGGAAAAGAGACACGCAAACTCCAAATATACAGTGAGGGAAAAAAGTATTTGATCCCCTGCTGATATTGTACGTTTGCCCACTGACAAAGAAATGATCAGTCTATAATTTTAATGGTAGGTTGATTTGAACAGTGAGAGACAGAATAACAACAAGAAAATCCAGAAAAACGCATGTCAAAAATGTTATAAATTGATTTGCATTTTAATGAGGGAAATAAGTATTTGACCCCCTCTCAATCAGAAAGATTTCTGGCTCCCAGGTGTCTTTTATACAGGTAACGAGCTGAGATTAGGAGCAGACTCTAAAAGGGAGTGCTCCTAATCTCAGCTTGTTACCTGTATAAAAGACACCTGTCCACAGAAGCAATCAATCAGATTCCAGACTCTCCACCATGAGCTCTCCAAGGATGTCAGGGACAAGATTGTAGACCTACACAAGGCTGGAATGGGCTACAAGACCATTGCCAAGCAGCTTGGTGAGAAGGTGACAACAGTTGGTGCGATTATTTGCAAATGGAAGAAACACAAAAAGAACTGTCAATCTCCCTCGGCCTGGGGCTCCATGCAAGATCTCACCTCGTGGAGTTGCAATGCTCATGAGAACGGTGAGGAATCAGCCCAGAACTACACGGGAGGATCTTGTCAATGATCTCAAGGCAGCTGGGACCATAGTCATCAAGAAAACAATTGGTAACACACTACGCCGTGAAGAACTGAAATCCTGCAGCGCCCGCAAGGTCCCCCTGCTCAAAAAAGCACATATACATGCCCGTCTGAAGTTTGCCAATGAACATCTGAATGATTCAGAGGACAACTGGGTGAAAGTATTGTGGTCAGATGAGACCAAAATGGAGCTCTTTGGCATCAACTCAACTCGGCGTGTTTGGAGGAGGAGGAATGCTGCCAATGATCCCAAGAACACCATCCCCACCGTCAAACATGGAGGTGGAAACATGCTTTGGGGGTGTTTTTCTGCTAAGGGGACAGGACAACTTCACCGCTTCAAAGGGACGATGGACGGGGCCATGTAC